TACTAATATATATTAATATATATTATTTTATATAATGTNTATAATTAAAATGTACACAAGTGTACTTGGTACTACTTTTGATATCACTTCTTTTGTAAAACAGGTTTTGTAGACAAAGATATGTTTGTTTGGCGTGTACGTGGCGCCTTTTTTCTTTTTTTGAAATGATTTGAACTCTTCAACGTCGCTTGATGAAAAGGTTGACATTCTAAATCGATGTTTACTGCAGTATGTGAATAAATATGCACCTTTTCGTCGCGGCAAATTCAAGAATCTTCCGGCGCTGTGGTTGAGCATTGAAATTAAGGACGCGATGAGAAGAAGAAACAGAAATCATGTACAATGTTTGGTACGTACTGCGAAGAATAATTATTACCTTTCAATCTTCTCTGATAAGAACTCTAGTGCTGTTTGGATTGAGCTGCGACGACTTGGCCTGATTATGACTAAGATGGGGGCGAACAAACGTCTTTCTAGTACTATTAATGAATTGAATTGCCACTTTGCGCGTGTGACTGGTGGCCCTGGCAATGTTGACGGCGGCCCGGCGGTGGCAAAATTTCCGGATGTTGACGTAATGCAGGATGAAAACAGGGTTGTTAAAATGTATGTATAAAATATTTTTATACGTTACACTTATAAAATTAGGTATAAAAATGTCAAATATAATAATATATATATATGTATAAAAATATATATGTCAAATATAATAATATGTATAAAAATGTCAAAAAAGTATATTACATTGTATCTTATTCAGAGAACAAATATATGTATTAAACATTGTATTATACGTATTATACGTATTTTGTGTAGAATACATACAAAATGTAAAATACTCTGTATTTTGTATTAAAGTGTATACTATGTGTTGTCTTCCAAGTTTTTAATTATTACAATATTAGTAACGTTAGTAGGCCTTTTTACTATCATATGTTACTTGATAGCGCATGGATCGTGTGAGCAGTTATTTTTGTTGTAAGTCATTTTTCTATCTTCAGAAACAATATTACTCTCATGTTTCTCCAAAAAGTTCATATTAAAGTAAATTATAAAAGTAAGCTTCAGACAAAATTGTGTCAAATAAAAAGTTGTTCTAGAATTTAGTCAAGAATATGTATTTTCAAAGATAAAAGATTGTTCTGAATCACCCTGTATATGACATATGTATGACTAATGAGTATTTTAGATACCATAGATATGAAGAAACTATTAATTATAATATGCAGTAACTGCCACTTTTTTTTTTTAATGGCTTCAAAAGTTTCTTCTTTAAAGTTTACGTTATCTTCTTTTGGATATAGTTTGTTTGATGTAATACAGTTTGCTTTGTAAAATTAATAAATTTACTTATGTTTAAAACTTACTTTTTCATTATTTCCTGTCTTCCATTAGCAGAAATAATAATAATTTACTGAGGTACTATAAAATGATTTTTGTTTATTATGGCATTTCAATGTTCACGTTTTGCAATAGTCATCAATGTGCTTATTTCTTCATTATTTCTTGCTCATTGCTTGTTGGTTGCTTTACATTATTTTTATCTCATTCCAGTAGTAAATATTTTATAAGTAACTTTTTTTAATATTAAAAATTAATTGTTTGTTTGTGTTTGTTTGTTTGTATTTTTTTTATTCTATTATTATTGTCATTATAAATTACCTTTTTCTTTTGTTTTGTTTTGAATTTTATATTTCTTGTATATATTATATTTTTGTTGTGAATTTATTATTTTGTTACATGTTAGTTGTATGTTATGCTTAACAGGATCTCATCCCAGAGCGCCCAATAAATGATGCTTTCTCTCTCTCTCTCTCTCTCTTTCTTTCTCTCTTTCTCTCTCTCTTTCTCTTACTCTCTCTCGCTCTCTTTTACACTCTCTTCCACTTTTTTTGTCACTCTCTCCTTTACTCTCTCGCTCTCTCGCTTTCTTTCTTTCGCTTTTTCGCTCTTTCTTTCTTTCTTTCTCTCTATTTCTTTCTCGCTCTCTCTCTATTTTTCTCTTTCTCTTTCTTTTTCTCTCTCTCTCTCTCTTTCTCTCTTTCTTTCTTTCTCAATCTTTATCTCTTTTTTTTCTCTCATCACATATTACAATTCTCTTTCTTGTTTTCGTTCAACTCGCTCAAATCGCCATCTCTTGAAAGCACTAGATACATGCACACATTCCTTACACATATGAAGAAGTTTAAACGTAACAAAATTTTATATATTTAAAAGAAAATTTTCAATACCTTCGAACAAAAGACAGACAAAAAAACACACATTTTTTTGTAGTTTTTTAATCCAAATTGATTGAGATTAAAAAGAAGTCAATTGATTCAGTCGTTATTGAGATATAAATATTTAATTTTTCACAATGGCTTTCCAAAACTGAGTTTTGCGTATAATAGGCACGGTGCGCTTTGCGCACTTCGTCGCGCGTGAACTCGGTGCGAGGCACTACCGTGCCTCTTGATGTGAGCATTATACGTGTATCGCCTCATGTAATTATAACGGTTAATTAGAATTTTAAAGAAAAGGTTCAAGTAACAAATTCCCAGACAATTCCGGGTGATACTCTATTGACCACAGTACGATTCGACACCGCTCGATTCGACACAGATTTATTCGACACGAAATTATTCGACACC